GGGCGGGCTGCTGGGAGCCCGGACCTCAGGTCAGAGGTGGTGACAAGGTTGGAGAGGGGCTACCGGGGCGCGCGGCGACTCGGCGTGACTACGCGCACGCGGTCCCCGCAGCCCGATCTTCGGTTCCTCGTCCTCCCGAGCCCGCTGGGCGACTGCGTGCCCCTCCGAGCTACAGCTCGCCGGGCCCGCTGTTCTTAAAGGGCCCGCGCGGGCCCGCAGCCCGTGAGGGGCGAGGATGGCGAAGAGAAGCGCCCGCTCCTCAGGGGCGGGAGCGAGCGGGTGCAGCAGTGGATCCAAGACTGGGGGTTGGCTGGGAAGGGCTGACTTAAGGCAGTGAGGAAATTAGAGCTGAAGTCACTCGTAGGGACAGGTCCCCTGATTACAGACTAGACAATGGTGGGGGCTGAGTGGGGGTGGGGAGTGGGTTGCAGTTTCCATCACTCTCAAGGGATGGTGAAGCTGATGGCCCTCTACACGGGGCTTGCCCACTCCATCAATTTCCTTAAGTTCTTGCTCTCAAGCTACCTCCAAGGTATTCTCAAACTAAATAAAAAGGCTTTGAAAGCTACTCTTGGGACACAACCACCCAACCAACACACCCCCCCCACCACACACACACACACACACACACAAACACACACTCTTTCTATGGGTGGGCCACCAATTAAAAGGGGACAGAACATGGCTGTTTTGGGAAAGCTTGCAGGCAGCTCAAAGGTGAAACCGGTACCCAGAGCTGAGGCTGTGACTGTAGAGGTGTTTTTTCTTCCAGGCAAATTCCAGTCTTTAAGACAGATGCATGCCTGATGCCAGGCTGGGTGCCAAGGCATACCCAGGGTTCACAGGCACTGTCTTTGACATCTCCTATATATGAGCATTATCTCCCTCACCCCAACAGCCTTCAAATGGAGGTCCCCAGAGCCCTTTTAGGGCTTTCCCCAGCTCTGCCCCTTTCTAAGGCAATTTCTCTTGGTCCCTGCCTGCCCCAGACAGTCTTCAAGGGGTAAGTAGGTTAGCCAGCTGAAACACGTGACCTAGGCTTTCAAGTTCCCACCTGTCACATAGCAGAGATGGACGGGATGGGAGGCTGCTCGCGGCACCGAGCACTGGCTATGCTGAGATTTTGCCTTACTGCCGCAGTTGAGGTTACTATGAGTCAAACCTCGCCCCTACCTAACCCCACCCCCTCCTTCTTCTCCACAGCCTGGAGGCTGGCGACCCCTGCAGGATGTCTCCAGGTCTCACTCTGTAACTGAAGTTTACCCGGATTCAGGACCTAAGCCCCCCACCCCCACCATTCTTCACAATAAAACATTTTCTTCTCCAGACAGAACCCCCATTGTCCAAGTTAACCTCCAATATGGTACCTCAGATTCCCCAACCCCACAATTGCATTTATTGAGCAATTACTAGGAACTGGGCACTATCTTCTTTGAGGCAGATAAGCCCCTTAACAAAAATAAAGAAATTGAGGACAGGGATGTGAACATACTGAGGAAGCACCTGGACTTTCCTCTTCCTGTCTAGCAGGCAACAGGCAAGAGGTCAACAGCATATGCTTAAAGTCAGAACAGACTGTTGTGTGAAACAGTCATAGAGGAATCTCATGCCTACAGGTAAACCAATCTTTTCAATCTCTTGGAGATTTCCAAGAGTCCAACTAAAGATTCTAACAATGGATTTTTCTCTAATAAACCTACCCTTCTGGGGGGGGGAGGGTGGCAGGGGGAGATGTAACAATGGGTACCTGCTAGCCCCAGGAGGATTTCCTCTTCTTTCTTAGGAACACACTGCCATTCCTCAGGACTGGCTTGCCTGTCATCAGAGACCAGCACTCCTGAGTCCTCTATTAGGTTTCTACAAAGGACACTTTGACCTAGAGCAGTGGCCCGCCTCTCGATTGAGAGCATCACCTGGGGGACTTTCAAAAGATCTCTGGGTGACACTCCAAACTAATGAATTCTAACCTCAAAAGTAAGTACTATTTAGTCATTTGTGTTTTTTGTTTGTTCTAAGATTGATTTATTATTTATGCATACAGAACTGGGGTATAGGCCAGAGGTGCAGAGGTGGTGAGAGGATTCACCAGAGACAGAGTGAGGAGCAGAACAGGCAGGTTGATGAAATACACTGCTGAGGGGAGCAGCGGGCAAGACAGGAGAGGTCTGCTGCGCCATGCGGGGTCAGCTCCCTGGCTGGGGATCTAATTCATGCTGAAAAGGCTGCTGCAAGCTTCACAGTGCTACGCTTTTTACCCATTGAGCCACCAGGGAGGCCCTAGTCATTTGTGTTTTTAAAAGCGCCCCACTTGAACAACTGAGATGGCACAAAATGATGTAAAAACAATTATATTATTTAAAAAAAAAAACTCCCCAATTGATCCCACTGGGTAGGCAAAGTGAAAATCACTGCTCATTTAGAACCCTTGTCATTGCACCCATTAAAGGCCCCTCTCTTCCCTGGAACAGGCCTCTCCTTCTTGAGGACACCTTTCCCCATTTTCTGAATAAAACTTCCATGTCCTAACTTGGAGTTAGAACACTGGCATTCTAATCTTGTCACTATCTCCTAGTAGTTCTGTAGTCTTAAGTAAATTTCTCTACCTTTCTGAGCCCCATCCAGGTAATGGGGTTGACGAAAGTCCTGCATATCCGCTTCGGGTTATTACGAGGTTTCGAATTCAGTGATTAATATTTGTAGTTTTTATTCTCAAGAATAAGTCACACATCCTTACTCTCTAGGTCAGAGTGACCATGATCCAGGAAACTTTCCTCCAGCATTTCCCATTTCATTGGCAAAGGAGTGGACATTACATTTACTGAAAGCCCACTGTGTGCTAAACAGCCAGCAAATAGATGTGATCTTTGAGGAAAGGACTAGGTCTGTCTCATTTTGGCCTATAGTCCCAGAACTTGCACACAGAAAACACATACTAGTACCTATGTTGCTGAACAGCCTAACTAGTCCTTACAATCACTTAATGAAGTCAGTATTAACCACATATTTCAGATATGGGAATTGAGGCTCAGAAATGTTAAGTACATGTATAAGGTTACAGAGCAAGTATGCTAGATCAAGGCTACAGGGATCTAGGCCAAGGTTGTAGGGATTCTAGTTATTGGTTGTTGGATTTCACCAAGTAAACCTGCTCCATACCGAGACTGATTCTCTCCTTTTTCTAGGAACCTTCTCAGTTCACACCCCAGACCTCACCACTGTCAACACCACCTTCATCTGGGGCACATTCCCCAATCCCAGACAGATAAGATTGATGATAATTGTCTTAAGAAGAGTAAGGCAGAGGCCTCCTTGGTGGCACAAGTTGCAGTACTATGAAGCATGAGTTCTATGGCCCGCAAGGGAGCTGACCCACATGGTGCAGCAGATGGCGCCGAGCCCCAGCAGTGTATCTGTATCTGTCTGTTCTGCTTCCAACTCTGTCTCTGTTGAATTCTCTCACACACCCCCAACACACAACTCAGACCTGTACCCGAGTTCTTGTATGCATAAATAAATCTTAAAAAAAAAAAGGGAGCAAGGCAGAAGCATTAGATTCCCACCTCAGCCTAAGCTAATCTTAAGACACCTGCTACTCTAGGCAGGGATTTGTAGAAGCAGTTGGTAAGGAGCTTTAGGGAACTATGGGAAAAAGAGAGTAGCAGAGTCCTATGGGAGTCAGAAAGAACTTGGGCTGGGGACTCTGGAACTGACCCAATTCTACTTCCACCCTCCCAAGTCCTTCGTCCATGGTATTTCCCGTTCCCGTGAGTCTCTCATCTTTGAAAAGAAAAATTTTAGTTTTTGGTCAATAGAAGAACCCTCTGCTGGCCACTTGGGGAAATGCAACCCAGATTTGGAAAGGAGGGGTAGATAAAGGAGGCTTAACTCAATAGCAAATAAATATTCCAATTAAAAAATGGGCAGAGCATTTGGTGATGGGAAACCCGTGGGGATTACAATTGAGATGAAAAAAAAATGTGAAAAATAATGTAAAAATAAACTTTTTAATTAAAAAAATATATCATCAAAAAAAAAAAATGGGCAGAGCACAATGGACTATGGTGGACTATAAATGTTTTGGTTCTGGGTGTACTATGGTGACTATACCAGAGGGGAAGAGCCTATACGTCCTAAATACTAACAAGGATGTAAACCAGTGGTGCTTCAATAAAATAATAATTTTTTTAATGGGCAAAGGACCTGAACAGACACTTTTCCAAAAAAAAATATATATATACATATACACATATATATACATACATATATATATATATATATATGTATATAGGGATGACCAATAGGTACATGAAATTTCTCCCAACGTCAGTAATCATTAGGGAAATTCAAGTCAAACCACAATGAGTTATCACCTCACACCTGTTAAAATGAATAGCACCAAAAAAAAAAAAAAATGAATAGCACCAAGAAGCAAGAGGAAAGTGTGGTGAGGAAGTGGAGAAATGAGACTCCTTGGGCACTTCGGTGGGACTGTGAGCTGGTACAGCCACTATGGAAAGGAGTATGGAGCTTTCTCCAAAAATCAAAAATAGAACTACCATGATTCAGCACTCCAATTCTGAGACTACTTCTGAAAGAAACCAAAACACTGTGATGCAGAGGTGTCTGCAACCCAGGTACAGTGCTGCATTATTTATAATAGCCAAAATGTGGGAACGAACAACCCGATTGTCTACCAAAGGACGCATGGATAAAGTTGTGGTACATTATAAACAATGGAATGTTATTCACTCATAAAAAGAAATCCTGCCATCTGCTAGAAAATGGACATTGAGGACATTATGCTAAGTAAAATAAGGCAGCTAGAGGAAGACAAATGTACAGTAATCTCATGTATATGAAGAATCAAAAGCAAACAACAAACTACAAACTCAAATAATAAAGTCAGACTTATAGTTCCTGTAAGCAGGGTAGGGAAGGGGAACTGGAAGTGGTCCAAAGTTAAAACCTCCAGTCTCAAGGTAAGTACTTGGGATGTAGCATACACATGATGACCACAGGTAACACTGCTGTATGGTAATATGAAAGTTGTTGAGTAGATCCCAAGCGATCTCAACACAAAGAAAAACTTCTTTTTCCTATCTATAGGGTAGATGTTAACTTACTGATAATTACTGCAGGATAGATGTAAGTCATATGTATGGTATGTGTGCTGTACATCTTAAACTTAAACAGTACTGTATGCCAATCATATCACAATAGAACTGGGTAGCAGGGAGATGGGTTAGGTACCTGCGTCAGGGTGGTGGTAGATACCTGGGTACAGTTCCTATCCTACTACAGCTTTTAAAAAACCTTTAGTTTTAAAATTATAATAATACAACATATATAATAAAATCAAACAATATGAAAGCGCATTTTAGAACAGTAATACTTATTTGTCCATCTCTAGTGCCACTGCCTTTTTATAAGAAAATGAAGGAGGGCCCTCCCTCATGGCACAACGGGTTAAAGCACAGCACTATGAAGCTATCCACAGCCACCGCAGCACAAGTTTGATCCCTGGCCAGGGAAGTGACCCACATGGCATGGCAGACCTCTGCTGTCTTGCCCACTGCTCCCCTCAACAGTGTAATTCAGTATATCTGGCTGTTCTGCTCCCCACTCTGTCTCTGGTGAATTCTCTCACCCCCCACACTTTGGCTTGTACCCCAGTTCTGTATGCATAAATAGATCTTTAAAAAAAAAATGAACGATTCTCTAGAGCTGCAGAATATAAAGCTTCTCTGGCCCACACCCTCTGTTTCTCTTAAGAATCCACACACTTCTGGCCTATGCCCTAGTCCTTCTATGCCAAAAAAAATTTCCATAACCTCCCCCCCGTCTTTTCTTTCTCAACTCCTTCTGCTACTGTTTATGAATTGGGTGTCCTCTTCCCAAAATGCACCATGAGATTCCTAGTCTTGAGCAAAATCCACCCATTCATTTAACATTCACTGAGCACCTTCATGAAGTATCTGACAGAAAGGATTTTGTGCCCCATGACCATTTCTCACTCTTTCATCTTCAGAGAACCGTTTCTTTTATTCCCACTCAGTTCTCTATGGACTGGCCTTCAGTAAGAAAAAAGAAACATAGGTTTCCACACTCCTGGCGTGTCCCTTTAATCTTCAGATACCATGCAGACTGCTTCCCAGGCTGACCCTAGATGAAGCAATTAAATTAGTATTGTCACCCTCCTGCCTCCAGAGAGCTATTCTCACCCACCTCCAGCCTAAAATATCCTTCCACAGACCTGTGGCTGCTCTGAGTCAGTAACTCCTCACTCTAGGTCCAGGGTTATCCAAACCATGGTGCTGAGCCCAGGCTCCTCTCCTGCTGAAGGCACTTAAGTCTGTCTGGGGGGAAATAGCCTACTCTTAGAGAAGAGGGGCAGGGTGAGTGGCAAATTAGCACAAGATCCCAGGAAAGTGTGGCTAGAAGTGCAATGGCTTTGCTTATGGGAACTTTCACTTTTCTCTCCTTCACACGGCCATTTTAAGGGGTTTGTACAGAAGCCAAGTGAACATCCACAGTGACATCATCTTAAAGCCATCATCATTTCTTGACTAAGTTCCTGCAGTAGCAGCTTGGATCTGCTTTCAGTCTCTCATTCTTCCAATTTACAGTCCTCATCTCTCACAAAGTCATTATTCCAAGACTTGACATGGTCCTTGCAGGTAGCCTTGCCCTCCTTTCCAGGTCTCTTCAGAACCCGCTGTCCTCAGTGCTGCAGACCGTACGGTACCATTCTAGATGTGTTTATGGACTTAGTTTCTTCTGCTGAAAAGTAACTTGCTCTTAGTAGAGCGTAAACTCATTCTTTCAAGTCTCACTTGAAAGTCACTTCCAAGCTGAAGACTTTCTTCACTCCTTTTCCAATACTCTGTACTTTTTCAGGACAAGCCCTGGTTTATTCGTCTTTTTATCCTTAGTGCCTGTCACGGTGCCCAACTATATAAGGAATTCAATAAAATGGCTGATGGAATTAACAAAGGGATTTTTCTTTCAAAATTCTGGGCATCCCATAATAATTTGTACTAAAAAATTAAATTCGGGCCCTCCCTGGTGGTACAGCTGGTTAAAGCACAGCACTAAGAAGCTTAAGCCACTTCCACATGAGTTTGATTCCCGCCTGCTCCGGAGGTGACCACATGGCGTGGCAGACCTCTCCTGACCCACCCGCTGCTCCCCTCAGCAGTGTACTTCATCAATCTGCCTGCTTTGCTCCCTGCTCTGTCTCTGGTGAATCCTCTCACCCTCTACATCTCTGGCCTGTACCCCAGTTCTGTATGAATAAATAAAATCTTTTTTAAAAAATTAAAATCACTTATTTTAAAAAGGCCCAGAAATCACTTCAAGGCAGTCCTTGACCACCGAAGACCCGAGGATATTCCTTTCAACTCACAAGAATGTTAGAGATCCGTAGCTATACAGGTCTAAAGAAAAGTCTTATTTTTCTGAAGCCCTGGGGAAGCTTCAACGTCTTTGAGAATCTAATGAAAAGTAGACCCCTTCCCCTAGAAAACAATCAGACATGCAATTTCTCATCATGGTTCCTAGAACCCAAGTACCTGCCATCCCCTAAGCTTCCAAATCCACCCTCCATCCCCATCTTCCCTTCCCTTCCCACAGTCCCACAGACAAAGAAC